ATGGGGTCATGGACAGGGGGAGCGGCTTAGGACTCTAGATTCATTGGAAGAGAAGGACTAAGAGCTGGTGGCCAGGAGGCCAACTTGCAGAATGTGCCCTTCAGCGGTGTAAATTATTATATATGACTGATTGTTTTGTTTTGTTTTTAAAGACTAAAGTGAATAGAGAGAAATCCTATTAACTGATGGTATATGGAGGGGATTATAATAATTATAATGCTAACAAGGTGTATGATTTGTTGAGTGTAAAACTGATGATCTGCCCATAAACTTTCACTCAATCCACAATAAAAACTTTAAAAACAAACAAAACAAAAAGAATACTCTTAAAATAGATAAATAAATAAACACTACTGTAAGAAACCAAAAAAGACTTACAAAAATGGAAGAATATACCATACTCTTGGAATAGGAACAATTAACATTGTGAAATTGTCAAAACAGCCTAAAGCAATTTACACATATAATGCAATCTCAATCCAGATTCCAATGGCATTCTTCAAAGAGATGGAAAAAACAATTACAAACTTTATATGGAAAGGAAAGACACCCAGGATATGCAAAGCACTGCTTAAGAAGAAGAAGAAGATTGGAAGCCTCTCACACCCTGTTTTCTAATTTTACTACTTGGCTACAGTGGTGAAAACAGTGTAGTACTGGTACAATGAAAGATACATTGATTAATGCAACAGAATTGAGCATGCAAAATTTAACCCATCCACAAAGAGAAAACAGATTTTCGACAAAGTGCCTAAGTATATTGTATGGGGAGGAGATGGTCTCTTCAACAGATGGTGCTGGGAGAACTGGAAAGTGATATGCTAAAGATTGAAACAAGACCTTTACCTCACCCCTTATGCAAAAGGAAACTCAGTATGGATTAAAGGCATAAATGTTAATCTCAGAATTATAAAGGCCATCAATGAAAAAATAGGAACAATTGTGAGGGCTCTAATGCAGGGCATACGCAAACTCTCAAACATTTTGATATAATTACATTAACAAAACTAGACAAAAGATATGATTGGGACATACTAAAAATTAAAAAAACATATGCGCATCAAAAGACGTCACCAAAAGAGTAAAAACAGGGCCCACAGAATGAGAAAATAACTTTTGCAATCACATATCATTCAAGGGGTTAATTTCTAAATTATATAGGAAACTACAACATCACTACTAGAAATTGTCCATGTCCATAAACTGGTGGATAATGAAGATTACATCTGTCATGAAAGAAAGAGTCAGATGCTTCTCAGAAGCAAGGATGGTGAGACTATGGATATGGTATTAAAATGGAACTGTCTCTGGAGAAGAAGACATTTATTACTTAGGAAAGTAGAAGGTTAGTGAAAAAAGAGGAAGACCTTCAACAAGATGGACTGATACAGTGGGAACAACAATGCAAACAAACATAGCAGGGATTATGAAGCTGGAACAGGACCAAGCAGTATTTCATTCTGTTGTGCATAAGCTTCCTTAAATTGGAACCATCTAGATGACACCTAACAACATTAGTAGAAAAGTTCAAGGATGTGTGGAAGGTGCCTTGACTCAGTGTTACTCCTCAAACACAAGCAGGATTTCTGGGTGTACCCGTACTCAATTGTGGGCAGTGACTGGAATGGCTGGTGTGGGTACAAAGAGCGTCAGGAGTGCTACTCTGACTACTGCAGACACATAAAGTCTATCTTAGAATGGACACTCATCTGAACCACACCCTCCTCTAGATGATCAGATGGCTGACGCCAACATCTTCCTTGTCACAGGGCCCGACTCCTACCAGATCTCTATGCACCTCTTTTCTCCTCTCTTTTTTTCATCAACACCACCCCCTTGTCTTCTTTCCCCAAGTTTTACCTACTTTGGACCCTAAGATGCCACCACTACTGGGGGCTGCCAGTCAAGTCATTTCATTCTCTATTCTCTTCAAGGATGCCTGGGATGGCACTAATTTAAGCACTTGACTGCTGGCCAAATAGGAGGCCATCTGAATCCACCCAGAGGACTGGTGACCTGCTTATGAAGGGAACAGTAGGAATGCTTATGGAGCTCTCTTCTGCACTCATATGGGTAATGTGAACCTCAAGGAGATGGATTGACACAGTGGCAGCAGCAATGGGCTTACGCATGACAACAATTGTGAGGATGGCAAAGGACTGGGCAGTGTTTCATTCTGTTGTGCATAGGATCGCTATGAATTGGAACTGACTCCATGGCACCTAATAACAGCAATGTCATATAATGAGAACGTACAGTAGATGGCCAATAAAAGGGAAACTCCTTTTTATCATAAAAGACTTATTCTCCCTACAAAGTGCTTTCTAATTGCAAGGAGAAGAAGTATTCAAGTGACCAAATTTAGCATCACCAAAATTAGGACAATTTGACATGCTGTGCTTTCTAGTGTGATAGACAAAATCCCTGGTGGGTTAGTTGTTAAATTTCAAACATACAGAAAGCTTAAAAGAATAATGAAGCAAATACACACAGATTCCTCATCAAGAGTCAACAATTTTTAATATTATGCTATATTTGTTTTTATATTTGCCCAACTCTTTTACAATAACCCAATCCTGATGCTATAGTCTTCTTCATATAGTCCAGCTTCTCAGATTCTTTGCTCAGTATGCAGACTGAGTAAGTATGGTGAAAAGGTATATTCCTGACACACACCTTTACTGATTTTAAACTACTCTGTAGCCCATTGTTCTATTTGAAAGACTTAGTACACGTTCTGCTGAGTACAATCAAGTGTTCTGAAATTCCTATTCTTTATAATGTTATCCATAATTAATGATCCACATGCTTGAATGCCTTTGCACAGTCAATAATATATAGATAAACATCTTTTTACCTGTACATTATTTGTCTACGGTATTTTCTGGTCAGCAAAGATACAACTTACATCAGCAGTGATATTCTTCATTCCGCATTCTCTATTGAGCCCAGTTTGAATTTCTGGCAATTCAATTTAGATATACTGCTGTAACTGTCTAACACAAATTTTACTTGTGTGTGATGTTAATGACATTTCTCACTCTTTTGATTCACCTTTCTTAGAAATGGGCATTAATATGGATCTCTTCCAGTACGTTGGACAGGTAGCTAATTTCCAAATGTCTTGGTATAGATAAGGGAGAGATTCCAGCATTGCATCTGTTTGTTGAAACATCGCAATTAGTGTCCCATCAACTCCTAGAACCTTGTTTTTACCAATGTCTTCAGTACAGCCTGAATTACTTCCTTTAATGCCATCAGTTCTTCATCATATTTGTTGTTATTGATGTTGTTAAGTGCCATTCAGCTGGCTCTGATTCACAGCGACCCTGTATAGGGATTCCAAGAAACAGTTGGGAAGTTTGAACTGCCGACCACATAGTTCACAGTCCAGTGCTGATCCTACAGCATCACACCAGGAGTCCTTGATCATATGCTACCTCCTAAAATGGTTGAGGAATCCTGGTGTGGCACTGCAAGATAATGCACTGGATTATAAGGTCAATTTCAACCACAAGGTCGGCGGTTCAAATGCACCAGCTGCTCTTCAGAAACCCTATGAAGGATTGCTATGAGTTGGAACCGACTTGACAGCACTCAACAACAACAATAGGAAAAACAATTGCATATTAACCAATTATTTGTGGTACAGTGACTCTGTTTAAATTTCTTATTCCACGGTTTCAGCTTGAAAGATGCCAAGTGATTTCACCCCTTTTTGTTTTGCAGGATTTTACACATTTCATTATAACACTTTACTTTTTCTTGTCAAACCACCCTTTGAAATCTTCTGTTCAGATAATTTACTTCATAATTATTTCCATTTTCTTTAAATACTCTACATTCAAGAGCAAGTTTCAGAGTGCCTTCTGACATCCACTTTGGTCTTTTCTTTCTTATCTTTTATGACCTTTTGATTCCTTTGTGTTTGGTGTCTTTAATGTCATCCTTCAGATCATCTGGTCTTCAGTCACTGGTGTTCAAGGCATTAAATCTGTTCCTGAAGTGGTCTCTAGATTCAAGTGGAAGAGACTCAACATCCTACTTTGGCTTGGTAGACTTCTTGTCATTTTCTTCAGCTTCAATTTGAACTTAAATATGAGCAATTAATGGCCTGTTCCTCAGATTGCTCTGGCTTTGATCTGACTGATAATATTGAGATTCTCCCTTATGTCTTTCAACATATGCAGTCAATTTGATTCCTGTGTTCACATGTATAGTCACCATTTATGCAGTTGGAAAAGGTATTTGCAATAAATAAGTTGTTGATCTTGCAAACTTCAATCATTCATAAAGCCAATAAAAAATTCTAGAAACACTTGAGAAAAAATTAATTTGGAATTGATAATAAACGATTCCTTTGAATTGTTAATTTTCTTACATATGAAAAGGATTTTTACTCAAAAAAAAAAAAAAAAATTGTGCTAAGGGAGGAATGCAAGAGCTAAAGCAGACAGAGATAAATACTGTCCACTGATGCTACATGGAAGAGATTGCAATCATTATAATGAAATGAACTATAGGGTTTGTTGAATGTAAAACTGATGATCTGCCTGTGTCTATGTACATATGTATACACCCACACACAAACACACAGAAACATGTGACAGGCCCCTCTCCAGAATCCTTTTCCTAGCGCTCAGACGCCTTTCCCTTCCTCTCCATTTTTGCTTCTCCTCCAACTGCTTTTCCTGCCTGGTGCCTGAGGCATTTTCAAGATGTAACCTGCCAAGAAGCTCTACAACTCAGGGCCTCTAGGACACAGCACAGGGTGCTGGTCACTCCACCATTAAAGCACATTTTGGAGAGGCATTAGACCCTGGCTAATCACCCAAGCCCATTAGGAGGCAAATTGTCCCAACTCCATCTGCATAGCCAAGCCCCTTCCCAATCTGAGCATAAATAAGGCTGGGGAGCCCAGAGGAGCACATTGCAGTTTCCACCTGGACTTCAGAACTTCATCCTACCCTCTGCACCCCAGCTCTACCTACAAAGGCACCATGACCTGTGGATTCAGTGGTCGTACCTGCATCACCGCCGCCCCCTACCGCGGCATCTCCTGCTACCGAGGCCTCTCGGGGAGCTTCAGCAGCCACAGCACCTGCAGCGCCATCCGCTCTGGCTCTGGTGGACGCAGCTTTGGCTACCGCTCTGGAGGTGTGTGCGGGCCCAGCCACCCCAGCATCACCTCCGTGTCTGTCAACGAGAGCCTGCTCAAGCCACTCAACCTGAAGATGGACCCCAACGCGCAGAGTGTAAAGCAAGAGGAGAAGGAGCAGATCAAGGGTCTCAACAGCAAGTTTGCTGCCTTCATTGACAAGGTGGGTACCTTTGATCACACCCTTCCTGAGCCCCAACCCATGTTCAGAATTCAGATTGGATATTGAGGTACAACCTGACAGTCTGGAAACTGCCTTTAGGGTTCTCATTTGGATGGCGGAAACAACAGAGCCAGAAACTCCAATGAACAAGAGGAAGTCATTATACATAGCTGTATAAATCAAGTAACAAACACACAGAGAACATAGGAGAATCACAATATACCTCACTGCCTCCACCACCCAATCTGATGAATGAGAGACACAGAACCAAGGAAAGGCAAGAGGTGCCAATCTAATAAAAAGGTCACTTTATATACTCAGCACCTTCAGAAAAGGGCAGTTCAGATATCACCCTAAGAACATGATGTGTCCTGAGCTCTTAGTGCTGAGGCAATATCAAAAGAAAGAGACACCTGAATCCCAAAGGAATAATCAAAGCACCAGTAAACTGGTTTTTGCCTCTGTGATCCCCAAGGTAGAAGGTAAAGACAATAAGATATTGAGATCCTTCTGCACAGTCCCCAGGGACGCAATTCCTGCTTACCACCAGCTATAAAGGGTTTCTTCTGGTCTGAGTGACAAGATCAACCTTGACCCAGACCTGCAACTCTTTCTGGCTTCAAAGATCTCTGATAGGTCTAGATCCATGTTATCAGAAATCTGAGGATCCTAGTATCTGATAAATCCATGGAGAAAAAACAGAATCATAACTTCTCCCTTCATTACCTTAAAAATTGAGTCTTACTCTATAGTTAAGGATCTTTGGTAGCGTAGTGGTTACGAATCAGCTGCAAATGCCGCAAGGTCAGCAGTTCAAAATCACCAGCTGTTGTGCAGGAGAAAGATGAGGCTTTCTGCTCCTATAAAGATTTACTGCTTCAGAAACCCTGTATAGCATCGCTATGAGTCGCAACCAACTCCACAGTACATAACAACCACCACTACTCTATAGTTGCTCTGTGCTATCATTCAGAACTCCACATCTACATGTTGTCCAATAGTCTATTGGCGTCTCTCTGAATCCAAATCAGATATTTCTCAATAATTTGTTGAATTCCCTTTGAGAGAAAGAAGAGTATGTTCAGTTTCTAATTAAGTAATTTCTACACACTTTCCGTCTCTACCAGTGAGCCATCCATGGGCTAGCACTTCAGTGAATCCCCATCTCTGAAAACTGTTCAGGGCAATCTGACCCTTCCTCCCATCTCATGGCAGGTGCGCTTCCTGGAGCAGCAGAACAAACTGCTGGAGACCAAGTGGCAGTTCTACCAGAACCGCAAGGGCGGAGAGAGCAACCTGGGGCCCCTGTTCGAGGGCTTCATCGAGACGCTGAGGCAAGAGGCTGACAGTGTGGAGGCCGACAGTGGGAGACTGACCTCAGAACTCAACCACGTGCATGAGGTGCTGGAGGGCTACAAGAAGAAGTGAGTACAGTAAACAGCAGTTCTGCTTTGGCATTGAGCCTCTGGGCCAGATACACCAGCCTTCCAAATTTCTTTTGCCCATTGAATGAAGACTAGTAGCTGTTTAGAGTTGGAGATTTGAAACCTCAGAATTTTGATAATTTCCCCAGGCTACTCCACAGAAGGTACACATTTATAGATTTGTGTTTAAACAGACATCACTTGGTTTACGCAGACTTCCTCAAAACTCTTCAGTCCTTTGGCCTCACTACCTGTGTGGGTTTCTATTTGGGAAATTCAGAAGCTTAAATCAGAATTAGGATGACTTGACTTGTAAGCATTATCCGAATCTTTGCAAGAGATTTGTTTCTTAGAGAGATTTGACAAAGCTCGTGCAATATTGCACAAGTGTTTACGGAGAGGGTAATCTGTATGAGGCCTTCCAGAAACATACAATTGAATGGGATGCTGATACCCTGCATGAACTTCAAGCCACAAGTGTGTGGAGGATTTCCCTAGGCCTGGGAAGCATGAACTTCAGGCCTCTTTACAAAGAAGAAGGAGCAAGATGGGAAGCCCTTATAAAGCAGGACCCAATCTGCTCAGGAGGAGGAATCTCACTCAGATTCCACTCATGTCTCTTGAGAGAGCCTTCTCTAGAGACCTGAGAAAAAAACTAATGCCTTCTTCTTCCCTCCCCTATGTCAGGTACGAGGAGGAAGTGGCTCTGAGGGCTTCAGCAGAGAATCAATTTGTGGCTCTGAAGAAGGTGGGTGTACATCTGTTGATTCTGTGTCAGGAGGCCAAGTGGGGTTCTATGAGTATGGAAAGAACCCAAGGAGATTGCCCTCAGAGGTAACCAGGCTGATGGAGACACTGGGTCAGGGCCCAGGACACAGACCTGTAGAGCTAATCACAAAGCCAGAAGTAGTGAGAGGAGGGGGAGTCTGAGAACAAACATCCTGTGGTGTGAGGAGAAGGCTCCAAAAGAGTGAGGGGCAACACAGGAGGAAGAGAGGACTAATGTCCAATGTCAGGGTTATAATGAGTTCAGAAAGGATTGACTTGGGCTTTGAATAAAAAATAGGTGTGAGAGAGCCCCAGAGACCCTGGAAAGCAAAGGATAAGCAAATTCAAATAAACATGGAGGCTATTTCATGGCACGTGACCCCTGTGCAGTCGGTCAACGTATAGTAGAAGATCCTGGTGACACCGAAGAGGACTGAAAATATTTGGAGAGAGGGAGAATTTAGGGGAAATTGATTTCTTTTCTTTTCTGACTCCCAGATACATAAAAAGGGATTTGGTCACAGCAAAATGGAGGACTCATTTATCAGGAGGTGCTGTCTTGGATGTTAAGATGAAATGAATGAGTGCATGGGGCCAGGGTTGGTCAGGACAGTGGGACTGTAGGCTACCTAGGAAGATCAAAGTAAATCCTGCCTAGAGACAGTGGGATGGAAAAAATGACATTCCAAAGCTGCAATGGACCCCAAGAGCCTATCATGTCTCGTTCTTTCGCAGGAGGTAGACTGTGCCTATCTTCGCAAGTCAGATCTTGAGGCCAATGTGGAGTCTCTGACCCAGGAGATTGACTTCCTGCGACATCTGTATGAGGAGGTGAGGGGGCAGAAACAGAAACCCTGGAAGCCAGTCTAGAGGAGAAGGACTCAAGCCTAGTGTTGAGATGTCAGACAGAGGTTTGGCTGGGAGTTGCAATCTGTGATTCTCACTGCCGGGGCAGATACTGGAGCCCAGAGGCGCTATGAAGATTGGGTAATTCTGTGGTGGGTGGGGCTATGATCTAAAGTTTCAGCTGCCTCCCTTCCTCCACCCCAATCATTGTAGGAGATCCGGGTTCTCAACTCCCACATTTCAGACACCTCCGTCGTGGTCCAAATGGACAACAGCCGAGACCTCAACATGGACTGCATCATCGCCGAGATCAAGGCTCAGTATGATGACATCGCTAGCCGAAGCAGGACTGAGGCTGAGTCCTGGTACCGCAGCAAGGTGATTAATTGATGGAACTTGCCTCCTAGACAGGGCAGTGATAAAGATGCATAGAGTAGAAAAGTCTTCCTTTGACTGAGGATTCCGATGCACTAGACAGTGCGGGGGGCGAGGGGGGGTCCTTCTCTAGGGATGGATAAGGGGATGTCAGACAGCTCTCCTTGGGAAGGCACAGTCAGAACTGCCATGTGAGGCTGTGCAGGCTGAGCACTGGACAATCTGCACCATCATTCCTGCTATCTTGATGGGCTTCCCTGTTTCCCTCCTCAGTGCGAGGAGATGAAGGCCACAGTGACCCGGCACGGGGAGACTCTTCGCCGCACCAAGGAGGAGATCAACGGGCTCAACCGCAAGATCCAGAGGCTGACGGCTGAGGTGGAGAATGCCAAGGGCCAGGTATGGGTCAGCCTGTGTCCAAGACCAGAGATGATCAAGGCCTTCCCAAGGCCAAACAGTCAGTGACTGCATAATCTCCCCATTCATCCCCCAGCCCGTTTACATGAGTAGCCTCTTTGGTTATGGCTACTCAGAAAGACCGCAGAGAGGAAGTAGAGAGAAGCGTATTCTGGGAGGTTTGTTCCCAGCTGGGCGGTAGGAATTGAGCAAATCCAGGAAATGGACAGGGACACCAAGGAACCATAACTCATCTTGTTCTCTTGTTCCCTAGAATTCTAAGCTGGAGGCTGCCGTGACCCAGTCTCAGCAGCAGGGCGAGGCAGCCCTCAGCGATGCCAGTTCCAAGCTGGCCGGGCTGGAGGAGGCCCTGCAGAAGGCCAAGCAGGACATGGCCCGCCTGCTCAAGGAGTACCAGGAGGTGATGAGCTCCAAGCTGGGCCTGGACATTGAGATCGCCACCTACCGGCGCCTGCTGGAGGGCGAGGAGCACAGGTGGGGTCCAACCTTGTGAGACCCAGAATTACCCATCCCTCCCTCTTGCACAAAGGGGCTCTGGCAGCATATTGGTTATGAGTCGGGCTGCCAACCTCAATGTCAGCACTTCGAAACTACCAGCGGTTCCATGGGAGAAAGATGAAGCGTTCTCCTCCATAAAGATGTACAGCCTCAGAAACCCTGTGCAGAGTCACTATAAATCTGAACTGATTCCACGGTACTTAGCAATAACAACAACCTCCTGCACAAAGAAGCCCTGTTAATACAATGGTTACTCACTCTGCTGCTAACTGAAAGGTCAGCAGTTGGAACCAACCAACAGCTCTGCTGGGAATAATAACCTGGTATTCTGCTACTTTTAAATTTACAACCTAGGAATGTCTATTTGTTACTGTTGTTAAGTGCCGTCAAGTCTGTTCCAATTTATAGCGACCCTGTATAGGATTTCCAAGGAGTCGACCTTATGGTTCAAACTGATTTGCAGTCCAATACTTTATCCCACGGTGCCACACCAGGATTCCGGGAATGTCTAGGAGGCAGTTCTACTCTGTCCTATAAGATCACATTGATTTAGTTAGAGTAATCTGGACAGTGCACAGCAACAATCCCGTGCACAAGCCTTACCCTTACCCTTGTTCAGCAAACTGGGAGCCGAAATTAATCTTTATTCCATTACAGAAGGACTGTTCCCACAGACCCTCTGGTCCTAACAGCTTAGGCACTATGTACCCACCCTCCCCTAAGACTTCTGGGAGCTCCATTGGGAAATCTGGCCAAGTCACTAATGTCACCCTTTTCTTCTTCCCCCTCCAGACTGTGTGAAGGCGTTGGAGCTGTGAATGTCCGTAAGTAATTTAGGCCCTATGGAAAGGTTTACTGTGAGGGAGGGGAGACTCTGGGAGAAGGGGTTTCACTGAGACCTAAATTTAAGAGTGGGGCGACATTAGAGCAGGCAGTATTTGCGGACAGACACCAGGAAAGACCTAACAGCTTTTGAGACTCGATGAACCTGGAGTTGACAACTCAAAGAAGCTCCTGACTTTAAATACTCAGAGCTCAGGAATGGCGGACGGAGGGGCAGTTGTTTGAGACACAGGATGATCTGTTCACCAGAATTTTGATTCCGGTTTTGGGATTCGCAGGTGTTAGCAGCTCCCAGGGCGGAGATCTCAGTGCATCCGGATCCAAGCCGGTGACCGGCAGCGCCCCCAGCGGCGGCAAGCGGGCTATGAGCACTATGAAGAGCTCACTATGTGGTCCTTCCAATTCCAACAGCTCTGGTAGCCGGGGTACCAGCAGTGAGTCCTCCTTTGGTGGGAACCGAGACATGAGCACCCGGAAGAGCTCCCCCTGCGGTCCTTCCAATTCCAATAGCTCTGGTAGCCGGGGTACCAGCAGTGAGTCCTCCTTTGGTGGGAACCGAGACATGAGCACCCGGAAGAGCTCCCCCTGCGGTCCTTCCAATTCCAACACCTCTGGTAGCCGGGGTACCGGTGGTGTGGGTTCCAGTGGCTTCAGCTCTGGTAGTATGGGTTCCTACGCCAGGAGCTCCCGGAAGTGTTAGGTGCCCCAACAAACCCAGGGCCCAAAGCATCATCCATCCAGCCCCACCTTGCCCCGGGGACTGGAGCAAGTTCTCAACTGCTTACACTGCACTTTAGTATATCTTTGGTTCCATTCCCCGCCTCTCTTTGCTATCTCATCTCCTCTTCTTGGCTCTGCCACCCTAGGCTGCAAATGATTACCCCAAGGAAATGTTTCTGGGTGCCCCAGGAGGGGCATTCAGGGGCACGCAGGACCAGGACCATGACCCAATCCTAGGCGAATGGTCGGAGGAAACCCCTAGTCTCCCACTCTTTCCACTGCCTTGTTAGTCCCTGTCTTCATCTGAGTTTCCAATAAATCAATGTAGCAAACCCTGGACCTAGTCTGTGCCTTTGTTAATCTCAATGGTGGGGATTTGGGAGGGTCTACAAAGTCTTGGCGTAGTGCTGTGGGATAATGCGCTGGACTGTAGAATCGTTTCAACCACAAGGTCGGAGGTACAAGTTCACCACCTACTCCTTGCAACTCCTATACAGGGTCACTATGGGTCCGAAATGATTCAACAGCACTTAATAACAACAAACAAATTCTTAGGAGCATAGAAAGGCCTAAGCCAAGAATCTCCAGTACAAACTTCTGACCCTGGGCTCACAGCAGTCTCACAGCCCAAACATGATGTAATTTTATTAAAACACCCCAATAATTTGCTCCACCCAATTTTAATACGTCTTGCAGATGAAAAAACTGAAGCCCAGAGAAACTCAGTGAGTTAACAGCGTCCTCCAGTGAGTTGGAGTTTGGGCTCTCCAAGTGTCTATGGTATTCATTTCTGGAAACCACAGCTTCTGGAAATCTAAATGACCTTCAGAGATAAAAAGGAGTGGACAATCTTTTTTCCATTCATTTCTCAATATCTAGCTGCACACCTTCATGGTGGTAAATAGAGGAGGGGCCTGAGCGAGTGGACACCCCTACCCGATACTGGAGGTTTCTACTGTGCATGTGCACTGACCTGTGCAGCAAAGGCTACTGGTCAGTTGGTTACAGTTTTATTTTTGGTTCTGAGTGGTGGTTTTTGTCTCTGCTTTTATATTGTTTCTGCTTTGGGTCCTATTAGTCTTACTTTTTTCCTAGGGGAGGGAGTTTTCTCCCCTACCTTATCCAAGAAGAGACAGCAATTGTGTCCATATAGCCAAGTTACATAATATCCCACCATCTGGACAGGTGCAAATACCAGCTACTAGGCATTACACGTGAAAGGGGAAGCCTATCTCCAGATCACATCCACCAGGAGACACTCGGTAAGCTTAACAACACAGCAACATACGTTCACTTAATTATTGAAAACCCACTTAACCACTTAAAATGTACAAGAAAAAACAACAAAGGATCTCAACACATGTCCAAAAACAGAAAAGAGTAACTGAGACAAATGAGCTGGAGCCAGACATAGACTTCCCAGTAGAAAAAGAGCAGGCATTGGGTCTGCCTGAGAAGGAATTCAGAAGAATGATATGGAGACAAATTCAACTGCTCCACAGAGGGGCAGAGGAAAATAAGGAATAAATCAAGAAAGTGCTACAGGAGCAATCAAACAAGATATATATAGCATTGGAACCAATTCAAAACATGCAATAAGAGGTCCAGATGATTAATAATAAAATATCAGAAACGGACAATACACTGAAAGGGAAAAGGAGTAGAACTGAAAAGATGGAAGCCAGACTAGTAAGCTGGAAGTCCAATCTCTAAATACTGCTAAGATACAAAAGCAAGCAGAAAACAAAAGGGTTAAAAAAAAATCTGAAGCGCATCTAAGATTCATGCTATATAACATGAACAGGAATAACTTAAGATTTATTGCACTCCAGAACAGGAAGAATTTTAGAAGTCCACAGAGGAGATAGTTGAGGGTGTCTGCAAGAACATTTCCCTAACATCTTGAAGGATGAGAAGATAAACATTCAAGAAGCTGAATGAATCCAAGGAAAATAGACCTCAAAAGAGAATCACCAAGACATATCATAATCAAGCTTTCTAAAATCAAAGACAAGGAGAGAATCCTAAAAGTATCCAACCTTGTCGCACACCTTTCTTAATTTTAAAACATTCAGTGTTCCCATGTTCTGTTTGAACAACTGCTTCTTGATCCAGGTACAGATTCCTCATGAGCACAATTAAGTGTTCCAGAATACTCATACTTCACAATGTTGTCCATAGCTTGTCATGATCCACACAATCGTAAGCCTTTACATAGTCAATAAAGCACAGGTAAACATCTTTCTGATATTCTGTGCTTTCAGCCAAGATCCATCGGCCATCGGCAAAGATATCCCCTTGTTCCATGGCTTCTTCTGAATCCGGCTTGAACCTCTGGAAGTTCTCTGTCAATGTATAATTGTAGTCTTTTCTGTATTAACTTTATCAAAACTTTACTTGCATGGGATATCAAAGAGATTGTCCAATGATTTCCTGTGAGACCAATCAAAGATGAAAATATTAACAATGTCAAAGAAGGGGAAAATATAGGAACAGATATCCAGGTGATGAGGAAGTCAGGTAGAGTGCAGGATACAACAGACTGCCTTAAAGGCAGGGAAAAATTAATAGACTATAGGGTAACCCAAAAGAAAGTTAATACTTCACAACTTACCATGAAAATGAAGATACAAGTAGAACAAGGAAACATTAAAACTAAGAAGAAACTAACAAGAAATAGCATTAAAAAAAACATGAACTCAGCACAAGAAGGCATATAGAACAACAAAGGAATGAACAGCACCACAAAAAAAAATAACACAATGACATTAATTAATTCATAACTCTCGATAATTACACTGAATGTCAATGGATTAAATGCACCAGTGATAAGACAGAGTGGCAGAATAGATAAGAAAACAAGAGCATTCAGTATGCTGCATTCAAGAGACACACCTTACACAAAGACAAAAACAGACTAAAAGTTAAAGGATGGGGAAAAAATCATACCAAGCTACCTGTAGTTAAAAACAAGCAGGAGTGGTAATAATAATCTATGATAAAAATAAACTTTAAGGCAAAAACCAGCATAAGAGTCCGGAAAAAGATGGCGGATCGGGTGGAAGTGTAGTGACGAGCTCTGCCAAGAACAACACAGAATACAGGACCAAGAAGGCTCAGGGAATGGTCCCAGTACTCTGAACCACAAAATATTTAGAAGGTTGGAAGACTTACAGCTAGGGAGTCTGTGGCAGAAGCAAGAAATCAATTGCTTCCTGGTTTGGGACGCTCAGCTGCTC